ACCAGCATAACATCTTTGACTTATTTCTGCGTCTCTAACCTCGTTGCTTCGACCAATTACCTCGAGTATTGAGCTCCAGCGTTTAAACTTTTTTTTAAAAGGAGYTCAGATTGTAAAATAAACCACCACTGCCTGCTATGATGTTTAAAAAACACCCAGAATGGTGATGTTTTCAACAAGGTCTTGGTTTTAGCGTTTCATCACATTATCTCTCCCCGACCCCTCCCGTTCCTCCTACAATGCAGAAACACATCCGAAGGGAAATAAGAGCTAAGCTAAATGGGCCTTTAAGCTGCAGGAGTGTTTTCCTCCGTCTGCCCGGGTCCCTGCAAAGCGTGAGGCGAGCTGTCAGCAAGCTGCTGCAGAGAACTGCRATGGTTTATGTTCAGTCTCTGCAGGGCTGTGAGCACATTTCTATAATAGAATCTGTCAGAGAAAACACTGTGAACAATTAAAAACCTGCTTTTAGGAAACAAACACTGCTTTTTTATATATATTATTTACAGCAGGTCATCTTAAAACAAAATCAGTCCAACTATACACAAGCAAATTAAATTCAAATCATTACTCATTTAATTCCAACACAACTGATTCTGTTTTATTTCTTTATCTGTTTAGTGATGATTTGTAAAATATAAACTCTTTAAAGCAGGAGTCTCCAACCATCTTTACATTAAGAGCTACTTTCGCGAAATGAAATTAGAGGCACTATTTGCAACATTTAATTTTAAACTTAAACCATTGGAATAAGCTTGTTTTCCTCTAAAATGACTGAATTTACATGAATGTGCTTTTTGTGTTTATCCATTCATACCATACCACTRACTTAGGGTTTAATTGCGACAGATTTGTGCACAAGTAATGTTGGATGACGAGTCTCAGATTTTTTTTTGTCACATTGTAGACTCCAGCGGGGAGAAACCCCGTTCAGGGTTATTGTAGTTAAGTATAACTACTAGGGGCGCAACAATACATGTACCTGCATCGAACCGTATCGAACAGTGCTTTAGGTTCAATACACACTTGTATCGAACATTATACAGTTTAAAAATTAATTTTATCAACTTGTCTTCTGAAGATGCTCTGTGTTGAAG